TTCGTTAACATGCACTGTTCAGAAAAATGCCCAAATTTGGATCAGACACAAAATTCCAAGACTGAATTGTGAAAGGTACAAAACTTGAGATCTACTAGCGTCAGAGGTTTGTATGACATTAGAACAAACATCCCTCCATTATCCTCCACGTACCTGGTTAGGGTGAGGTGGCAGCAGGTTACGATGGTAATCCAGATCTTTTACCCAGCAGCATTTTCCAGTTTCTCCTGGAGGATCTTGAGGCTTTCCCCAAACCACATGAGATGTATTCTCTCCAATAGGTACTGGGTCTTCTCCTGCTTGTCCTTCTCGATGGGTTGAGAAACCTCAAGAGGCAGACAGGAGCCATCTTCACCTGATGCCAGAACCAACTCGGCTGTCTTCCTTCTTCTCCGACTTCGGCCAACCTTCAAAGGAGGCTAATTTCATCCACTTGTATTTGCAACTTCAGTCGTGCCAATACCCAGATCTCCGGACTACAGGTGAGAATGGACATGGACTGGCAGGTGGAAACTTTTCACTACGAAAGTTCAGCATGCAGCTGCAGACTACCATTGTTTCAGGCCAGTTCATGGCACAAAGTCAAGCATGTCTTCATGGTTGTTGGACATCACCGAGTTTGCCTTTTCTCTTCAGTCCGGTTTGTGACATCCATGGACGTGAAGCAGGAACCTCAGAACGGCAGTGATCTCCAGAATTCCCCACTTGGTTATTACAGCCACCGTAATAATGCAGATGCTGAAAAGCATGAAGGGGTGGTCGGGTCGTGGGTCCTTCACACGTGTGTTGAAGGTTTTTTGGCCCAAATCGGGACTTTGATATTGGATCTTGGTGAACTGTTGACCCTTTGATTGGCAGTTTACACCTTAAATCTGTAAAAGCTCTGGACTGGAGTGCATACTTGGAGAGGAAGATGTCAACATCAGCAAATCCACATAATTAACTGAGCTGGAAGCATCACAGGTCTGTTTCTGTCTTTGCGTCTCAGTTCTGTAAAAAGGAACAAGTGTCAGCTCATCAGCCGGCACTCTGGATCTGAGTTTCAGCCTGATGGGTTTCCCTCCTGGGTCTGGCCCGTTGGACTGTACTCAGCAGTTTGGAGGTCCGACAGTTTATCTGATGTCGGGTCAGCTGCTGAGGAGGGTAGGATTCAGCTGATGGGTCTGTTTGAGTTCTCTCATTCATCATCAGCATCGCATTACTCATGCTCAGCCATGAACGTGTGGGTTTATGCCTCCGCCCTCTGAAGTCGAGTAGAGGTCATACTTGGTGTTTTGGCTACCAGCTGTTTGGTGTTGATGACTCAAGCTAATCAGATTCCACTTTACTTATACAGTATGTCAGCACAGACCACAGTTTTTGTTTTTTAATTTTCCCTTGTAATAACTCAAACCAGTATCAAACTGCTGCTGAAAATAGTCCCCAACAGAAATACTATGTCCTTTTGCTTTCACAGTCACAGAGGTTTTTGGTGCACCCCTGCATACCTCTTTGCAACCCAACAAAACCAAGCAACCTGCAGTAACCACTCTCCAGGCGGTTGGGGAATCCCCAGCTGGTTTTAGGCCTGTGTTAATGGATCTAAGTCAGATCCATCATTTGAAAAATGATGAAGAACTTTAAATAAAAGCTAGAGAAACACCAGAATGAGTTTGAGGTTCACAGCTACAGACAGGGTATCTGATAGATGCACAGCTAACTCAATGCCAGCTGGCCACTTATGAACAGACGAGTGCAGGGCTGGACTGCCAATCCGGTGTGCCGTTGGCGTCTTACACTCATGAGGATCTGGCAGCAGTGACGATGCCCATCAGCCGCCATCGCTGCTCGAAACCACAAAAACATCTGTTTAGTCTTAATAACAATAATCAGCACCTGAGCTGACCTGATGCAGCATCTTGCCTTTTATCACATGAACACGATGAGACAGTGGATTCGATGGGCACTATTTTCAGAGGCGGAGGGATTTGGTTGCTGCTGCTGGTGATAACAGTAGAAACCGCGTTCACCCAGAGAAACACAGAAACATCCAGACTGTTGTTAACATGACACTTTATTGATAAGTGCTACATGTTGTGGATTGATCGACGATCGACTGCAGGGAGGGGCCGGTTTACTCGTACAGCCAGGACTGGGCGCATGGGGTGTAGGTGACAAACTCCTCGGCCTTGAACCACAGGTCGACCTCCATCTTGGCGTTCTCCAGGGTGTCGCTGCCGTGGATGATGTTCCTGTGGAGACGGAGGTGATCGGTGCGGATCAATAACTGATCAATGATTTCAGGGTTTGTGGGGGGAGGGGAGGGGTTCTTTCAGACAGCTAATAGAAAATGTCTCATTTCAAAAATGCGTTAAAATTTTTCACATTTTGTTAAGACTTTAAAATATTATGAATTTAAGAGATCTCATTAACATTTTGTGAGTGTTTTAGTTTTCTAATGTCTTAACACACACACACGCACGCGCACACACACGCGCACACGCACACGCGCGCGCGCGCGCGCACACACACACACACACACACACACACAGCAGCTGGACAATGCAGTGGTAACACTACTTGCTTTTGGACCTTCAGGTCGGGGGTTTGACTCCCGACCATGGTGTGTGTGTCCAGTAAGGCTAAGTGAAATATGTTACAGTGATACTGATGATGCTACTGCCGGGGGGAGCCGGGATGGAGGACTGGGAGGAGACACTTTTATCCCACTGAGATCCTAATCTTTACTACACTGAGTTATTACTGGCTGAAAAACAACAGTGTTGTGAGTTGTGTGGGTCCGTCTGCTCTGCGTGATGTTGTGTTATAAAACAGAGGCAGTCATGTTGTGGTCGCTTGCTCACCTGCCGATGTTGATGCACAGATCACCACGGATGCTGCCGGGCTTGGAGTCAGCGGGGTTGGTCTCACCCAGCATCATCCTGGCCAGCTTCACAATGTTCTGACCCTCCCACACCTGGAATGCACAAACACACACTTACAAACAGCTGAACTGAATTTTGATGTTTACGTTGAAAGGTGAACAGTTTTAGTTCTTTTCTACTTTAGTGATACAGGAAGAACAAACCAGTGTAATCCATAGACTGTATCTAAAAGATGGACGAGACCACTGTGATGTCACCAGTTTCAGTTTTCTGTCACCATCACGTCAAATTAAATATTCTAAATTGTCAGGAACTGCCTCCTCGGTGGACTTGCTGCTCTATAGGGGGCGCTCTTGAACTCACCCAGAATAGAAGTAAAATGTAAACACTGTCTTCTAGTTTTGGACAAAAAGTCTCAAGACCACTGACAAAGTTGTATTTTAAACATAGGTTAATGAAAAATATGTCAATAAAGAGAGAATGATTATTAAAGTAGATTTTATTGAAAATAAATACATATGAAAACCAAATAAGATTTTGAAATCTATAATGATCTGTTTGAGGGGGGGTGGCGCCCCCTAGTGGCGCCCCTGCTGATAGCGCCTTCTTGGCGATTGCACCCAAAGTGTAGATCCATTAGATCCATTAACCTCACAGCAGCCATATTAATGGTCAGATCACATCATTAAAAGGCTCCAGCTGCACAAACAAGGTCCAGAGGTTCAGTTGAGGTGAAGCTAGCAGACAGCTAGCAGCTACAGCCTAAAACCTAAGTCGCCATCATCCACCTGTCACTCAAAAAGGCCACGCCCCTAATAATGCAAAATTTAAGCCTTAATACAATTTAAACAGGTGAGTTATAAAAAACAACAGCTGTTTGTGTATCAGGATGTAAACGTGTTTATTTCTGCTGTAAACGTTTAAAATGGGACTGACTCCCTGCTGCAGCCTCTAGTGGATGTCAGAGGAACTGCAGTTTTAGGTGCCTCATATTTCCTCTCAAACTCAAACTGTTTGCAGTTTTGTTTTTATCCCCTTTTGGTTGCAAACGTGTGCGAGGTCAGGCTAAATAAAGCTTGGATGATTAAAGTCTCCTATGTTTGTCCGGTGGAGGTCGGAGCACGATGCCTTGAACACGAGAGGGTGTGAATAGATGGAGAGACGAGTGAGGCAATGGAAAGAGATAAAGCGAGAAAGATATGTGTGTGATGGCGGCGCTAGAGGCGAGCTGAGTGTGTTTGTATGTGTGTTACCATGGCGAGGACGGGTCCAGAGGACATGTATTTGCAGAGTCCAGCGTAGAAAGGCATGTCCTTCAGGTCCAGGTAGTGTTTCTTCATGTGGTCCTCAGAGGCCTGAAGACACCAAATACAGGAAGTTACACATTCATCGGCGAGTCAGTCACTGGGTGGCCACGGCCCAACGACGGGACCAGTATTAAAAATGAACTTTGTGTTTTATTCAGTCAGGCCTGAAAGCAGCAACACTGAGACCATAAACTCATCAGCTGAGCATGAGGCTTCTATCCAATCTGAGCTCTTTATGAGCACAAGTGGTGAAACAAGCCCCAGTTTTTTTAAACCTGAGGTTACATCCATGTTTTATCCACACTTGGACTGCCAAGAGGAGGGGGCTGGAGGGGGAGGGGGGTATCAGGTGTTTTATTGCATGTTCATCATGAATCCACCGAGACGACTGGCTTCACTTCAACAACGCCAAGCACTCAGCCCCTGTCATCGCCTCTAATCGAACACCTCCTGTCACACCATGTTGCTTGGCTCGCTCCAGCCTTTTACATCGTCTCTAATATTTACACCGTACCGGCTCGAACACTTGGACTCTGCAGATCATCAGAGATCCGTGAGCGTGGCTTCATATGAGCAAAATTCTGAAATTACAGAATTTTCATGTAGGATACAGGAAAACAACTCAAGGTAGTGACCCTCGTCTTATTTCCTGTCATGTATTTCCTGTTCCTGTGTGGACTTTCATACTAAACAAACTGAAGTCTCGAATAATGAGCTCGCTTTGCACAAACAGGCTGCTCTAAACACTCACTTTATGCTGTTTTTTCTAATCTGGGATCTGTATGATGTCATAGAGGGAGCATAGAAGCCCCACCCACCTGCTGCTCAAATCCAGTTTTGCTAATCAAGAAAGCTGCCTTAAAGGGGGAGGAGCTTTCAGACATAGATGATGAGCGGCTGCAACGAGGCTTGGTGTGAGGTAAAGAAGGATTATTATGAATGGAACTCTGTTCTGATGAAGCTGGTTCAAAGCCTCAGTTTAAAGCTGACAGCTGCACTTTTATGAACAAATGAACTGCAACAGAGAAGAAACGCCCCCTGCTGGTGGTCAGTATGTGCTGATCAGTTGTTTGTATGTGAGTTGTGGCGCCTGGCGTCGTTTTTACCTGCACGAATTTGGCGGCGACCAGCCTGAAGCCTCTATGCTCAAAGCGCTTGATGATCTCGCCACACAGTCCTCTCTGGACGCCATCGGGCTTCACGGCAATGAAGGTACGCTCCATGTCTGCTTAGGAGGCTGCACAGGAAACAGGAAGTGATCAGTCAGCCCACAGGAAACGAGATGAGTTCTTTGATGAGCGTTTGTTTGACAGCACACAGTGTGTCCTCAAACTAAACCATACAGAAATATTTTATATATTTTATAAATAAGAAATGTTTTATAATATATTTTTTTAAATTTTCGATCAAATGTAAAATTTGATCGATAGTTTCCTAAACATGTTTAGATTCCTGCAGAGGAGGAGGAGCCTGCAGGGCCGAAGGCTTAAGTGTTTTTGGACAGAATGAAAATGAAGCTGGAGATGTGTGAAGGAGACACCGCTGAGCTGAACACAAAGCACGGCCAGAAGGAGGGAAACGACCCATCTGCCCCGAAAACCAAATTTGTCTCATCTTTGTCTCTGTGAGTGTCTCCTCCTCCTCTTCCTCCCTCTCAGGTGTGTCTGCTTTATCCTGACACATCTCATCAAATTTTCTCCTTCAGTCACAGCTCAGTGAGAGCTGCCGATATTAAATTTCCCCCTGATGATAAACTAGAGCTACTTCTGAGCTTCCTGGACCACATTTTCTTCTTCTCCCGGCGTAGCAACCGCCGCTCGAATCTGAGCCTGCCCATAACTTTGGACAAAGCCTCGGCGTGCCGGAGGCCCCGCTGCTAATTTTACTGCCCGCCGGAATCTGCTGGCGTGACGCCGACAGCAGCTGAGAGCAGGTGGGACGGCCTGCTGTTAGAGAACAGCTGCTCTCAGCATTTTTATACCTCCAGAAAATGTTCTCATTGTGCATATATGCATATTTAAAAATAGTCCTTGTCTGCACAAACTTGGCCACGATAATCTGAGATTTCAGTGAACTAAGTGAGACCCTGATATCTGACAGCTCTGAGGCTAAAATTTCAGCTTTAAAGATGTCATGATTGTAATGTGCTCTGAGGTTTTAAAAGTTCAGCCTCCATATGCAGAAATTATTTTATTTGCTGAAAATTTACAAAAACCTCCAACAGGCCCGTCAAACTAAAAACAAGAATTCTGATGAAAAAACGTGTTTTTGGTTTGTGAAACACTGATTTCGCAGCTCGTTCGTGCACAAGGAAACAGCTGTAGAGACGGTCAGAGAAAAAACATTTGCTGCTCCTACATCACCAATTTAACGCTTCATTTTTTACCAGATTTAAACTGCAGATTTCTGCTGCAGACTTGCGACATAATAAACATTTTTAAAACATTCATTATTCCTTTGACATGTTTTCCCTAAACTGAGTTCATTAAACTGAACATTTTTAAGACAAGTTCAAACTTTACTGTTAGAAATTCACTAGTTTCTAACAGCTGACCATAAATCTGTCTGATGTGGTCTCTCTGCCTGTGGGAATAATATGAGGCTGAGGAGAGCATTATGTTTAAAGTCAAAGACACTCTGTAAGTTCTGTCCCCGGTGGGCATGTCTGGAAAGTTCCAGTTAAAAAAAAATCAAGTTATAGTAGCATTGATTTGATTCCATTACTTTTTGGTTTTTAATTGCACCTTCATATCACATTAGCAGAGCTGTGACACCAAGAGTGCAGCGGGCTGCAAAGTTACAAAGTTTTGCAAGACTGAAGTCATTTCAAAAAGAAGCCAACAAAACGAGAATCCCACACATGATGTCACTAAATAATTTTATCATATTTAGTCTGTGAAGGCGCAGATATCATATAAAAGTGGATTATTTTTTATCAGCTGTAAAGTTTCTGTGCGGATCAGATTTTAACTGGAAGCTTAAATTTTATATTTTGACTGATTTTATACCAAAACTCAAATGTATGAGTTTGAAAATGTTTTGTAAAACATCTTTTTAATATTAGGAGAAAGTTGCTCATGAAGTAAAAATGTGATCTGCTGCATACGTGTGCGTCTGTGTTTGATAGCTACCTTGGTTCTGGGATGGGAGAAGAACTTGTGGAGACGATCTGCTGGCGGCGGGGATGTGATCACCAAGGCCACAACACCACAGAGCGGCTCTATTTAAAGGCTTCTCCGCGGGGGAGGGGCTCCAGAAATATATATATGTGTGTGTGTGTGTGCGTGTGTGTCTGTGCGTGTGCGTGTGCGTGTGTGTGTGTCTGTGTGTGCGTGTGTGTGCGTGTGTGTGTGTGTGTGTGTGCGTGTGTGTGTGCGTGTGTGTGTGTGTGTGTGTGCGTGTGTGTGTGTGCGTGTGTGCGTATGTGTGTGTGCGTGTGTGTGTGTGCGTGTGTGCGTATGTGTGTGTGCGTGTGTGTGTGTGCGTGTGTGCGTATGTGTGTGTGCATATGTGTGTGTGCGTGTGTGTGTATGTGTGTGTGCGTGTGTATGTGTGTGTGTGTATGTGTGTGTATGTGTGTGTGCGTGTGTGTGCGTGTGTGTGTGTGTGTGCGTGTGCGTGTGTGTGCGCGCGTGTGTGTGTGTGTGCGTGTGTGTGTGCACAGTGGGTCCAAATCTGTGTCAGTTGTTGACAGATATTTATGTGTGTATGTGTTTTTGTTTACCTGTCTTTGTGGGGACCTGTGTCTTTTCCACAACCATCCAAAATGTCCTCAAACAGCAAACATTCTTCTAAAACTGCAAACTTTAATAAAAACTCTCCACTTTAAAAGACCTCCTTTATTCACTTTTTGGGGGGTTAAAAATATCTTATTGTGTGCAACTACAAAATGTCTTCATGCACATTTAACAGTTTTATCTCTAAAATCATCAAACAGTGATTGTAGATCATCAAGCAGAGGCTCAGTTACAAAAGCAGAGAGAAAGATGTTGACATAAATACATAAACATAAATATGTTATGTTCAGGTTAGCAGTGCTGACTGTGGAGCTGATTCAAGCCATTTCACCATGTTTGGCTTGAACTCTGCGCACCACAAGCTGACCCGACCCTGCGGATCTGAGACACCTACCCAGCTCAGCAGTCATACCCCTGATATATTTTGGGCCCATACCATGGAGAGACTTAGAGACAAAAAGTGGGGCATTGCATTTTTCTCTATATTTAGCAGGACGTGAGTGGAAGGAGCTGAGAATCAGAGTAATGTGCTCTCTCTTCTTGGTGTGTGTCAGGGTTAAAGCAGCTGCAGCATTTTAAATTCATTTATACTTGTTTTATATAACGAGCACATCACAGACTGGAACCAGCTCCCAGTCTGGATTCAGCAGACAGACATCTGCTTCTAAGATCAGCCTTTCCTTTTTGCTGAAGCCCACAGTTAGGGCTGAATCCTCCCTGAGTTACACCGCAGTAGGCTGCTGGGGCATTCCCATGATGCACTGAGCTCTTTTTTTCCCACTTCCCAGGTGCTTGAACGCCAGCGCTGCACGTCATTAACCGCCATCTTTGCTGAAATCCCCGCTGTGATATCTGTTATCTAGGGTTTGTTGTTTCTGCCTGTGTTGAACCTTCTGATCTCTGAGCTCCTTGAACACTTTTCTGTCTCTGTCTTGTCTGATTTCAATTTTTCAGTTTTATTTATACAGCTCCAAATCAGAACAACAGTTGGCTCAAGGCGCTTGATATTGCAGTAGATCGTACAAGTCAAGTCTTATTGAATAAACCGTGCTGTTCATTCACTGCTGGAGCCTCTGCTGGTCATTAAAGGAACTGCAGCCCTGGATGCTGACTGTTAGAAATCTGTGAACTCGTAATAATACCGTTTCCTTTTATCCTTTCCTCGACGCTGTTTTCCGTTGCTGCTCTGTAAGTTGAAGAGGTGCAATTCTTACATAAGGGAGGGCGATTGTTATATAACAACTGAAATCGCACTCGCTTCTGTACGAGTCTTTAATCCAAAGCTCCAACCTTCACCCTTCCCCCAATTTGACCCTAAATATAAACCTTATCCTAATCAGGGATGGAAATCACCCTCCTCCCAAGGGGCACGCGGTCGGGTCAACAGTCCTGAGGAGGGGACAAAGGGATCCTATCAGCTGAAATGAAAACACACACCCCCTGATCACGCACACACTCCACCTGCTAATGCTCTTATACTGTGATGCACTTGGAGCTGCAGAGCCACAGCTGTGAGACCTCTTCTTTGCTTTCACTGACCCACAGAGTCCCTCTATCCCCACAGGACTGCTGTCTGTCTTAACTTCAGGTTCAAATCTTCCCCAGAGGGCAGGCTGACCTGAGAGTTAAAAACGCTCCAGATTCCTTCAGCTGCAGTAAAATGATCAGTGTGGCTGTTCAACCAGCTGTTACCTGCTCAATGTCAGGTGATCGTTGCTAATCAGAAAACCAGGACACAGTATTCATATGCATGCGGTGCAACTTAAAAAACAAAGAAGCAGCAAAAAAACACTGAATATACTTCAGTAAGTAAGAAATAAGTAGAAATATGTATTTCAATAATAATTAATGTGGTATTACTACTGCAGACATTTGAGGTTATTCTACACTAATAAGTCATATTCTCTGAAATCCTGTGCTGGTGCTGGCTGCTCTGTGAGGCCAGAAACAGAAACTTACACCTCAATTTAATATTTATAAAAGAATAAAAAATCATCTGAATTAAAAGCCTTGTGCAGCATGGGTCTCGATCAATACCATGAAGGGATTCGACATATAAAAACAAAGGTGCTGTGTCGGCTGTGGTCATGCTAGTCTAAGCAGCTCGGAAAGAAAGTGACCGAGCTTTTTGAAGTTTTGAGCAGACCTCTCATCAGAGGTGAAACCATAGTGAAGACATCCAATCACTTCTTTCCAAGCTCCTCCGACCGTGTGTGGGTGACAGGATGGAGCTGGCCTATCATGCTGGTTTCCATCCAGACCAGGATCATCTACAAGGCTCAGGTTTCCCAGCAGCTCAGAGACAGTAACAAACTGCAGCCACAAGATGGCAGCAATGTACAGGATGCTGCAGGAAGAAGCTGATGACTTTGTACCATTTATTCCGAGAATTTTTTATTTTTTCACTGAAAGGCAGACAGTAAACATTAACGAGTGATCTGCGCTGTTTCAGTGAAGGTTAACTGTGAGGGCACTGGTTATGGCAGAATTTGTAATAATTATTTTGCACAGCTTTTACTCTGAACATCTGGACAGACACCATATTGTCTAAAAATTCACTCTCCCATCCAAATCATTGCATTCAGGTGTATCATTTACCTGCATGGTCACAGGTGTATAAACTCGAGCATCTAGCATGCAGACTGCTTCTCAGGAGCTCAGCTTGGTCCAGCGTGCTGCTGTCGTAGGCTCTGCAGAGCCAACAGATACAGACCTCTGAACGTCACATGGCCTTCAGATGAGCTCAACAAGTTTTGAGTTTCCATGGTGACCAGCTGTATCCAAGCCTTACATCATCAAGTGTTGATGCAGTGGTGTAGAACACGCCGCTGGACTCTAGAGCAGTGTCAGCGTGTTCGCCGGACTGACCAATCACACTTCTCCATCTGGCGATGGACGAGCGAGTCTGGGTTTGGCGGTTGCCGGGACAACGGTACTTGTCTGACTGCGCTGTGTAAAGTTTGGTAGAGGGGGGGTTATGGTGTGGGGTGTTCTTCAGGAGTCTTCGTGCTTCAGCAGACCGAGACACTGCGGACACCTTCGTGTTCCCAGTATGTGGGACCAGTGTGGGGATGGCTCCTTCCTGTTCCCACATGACTGCACACCAGTGCACAAAGAAAAGTCCACAAGGACACGGACGAGCCGGTTTGGTGCGGGAGGACCGGCCTGCACAGAGTCCTGACCTCAGCCTGATCCAACACCTTTGGGACCAATCAGAGCGGAGACTGTGAGCCAGGCCTTCTCCTCCAACACCAGTGTGACCTCACACATGTGCTTCTGGAAGGATGATCAACACTCCCCATAAACACTCCTGAACCTGAGGAAATCCTTCCAGGAGACGTCCAGCTGCACACGGTGGGCCGACATCATATTCCACCCTGTGGATGTTCAGTGTCCTGATACAAAAACAAACAGAATACTGTCCCTCACACGATAACACGTCTGTCTCTATAATTTTATATTAGCTGCAATCATTAATCAGCTGAGCTGAGGCTCACAGAGACCCCACCGAGGACTAATGACTAATACAAGAACACCAACAGGAAGTGACGAGGCTTTGTGTTGTTGTCCAGAGGTTTTATTTCAGTGTCTGTAGTGTGACAGCAGGTCTGCGGGAGGCGGGGCCTCTCGCTGGTTGGCTTTACTTTCAACCCTCCCCTCAGAGCTGCCTAATCAATAGCTCTCCAATCAGCAGAATTATCCACAGCCTCTCTACGCTCGTCTTCTCTCTGCTTTAACATTTGATGTGTAACAATTAAACATCTCGAGATAAAGTGCAGTAATACAAATAATCTGAGTGTTTTCATTTTATGGAACAAATATGACAAAAGGTTCAACCAAGAAGAGAGAGAGTGAGTTCGTATGTGTAATGTTGTAATTATAGGAAACAGTAACGAGAACAACCTGAACCGTAACATTAATAATTATGAGCTTAATTCAATGATATACAATTAAAAACATATTTTCACAACAGTGTGGAAGCTGTGGGTTGTAATTTTTTTAATGGTTCAGCTTTTTACTTGATATATTTTAAAAATTTGAAACTTGCTCTTGAACGACTCCTGTTCCATGATAATGTAATACAATGAATTTAAAAATTACAAATAAAACTGGAATTTCGCTGTGAAACGTCCGTCCAGTCTGACGCTTCTCTTTGTACAATTATACACAAATTATTTCAAGAACAGTCACAGTTTTGTAATACAGTCGTCCCTCATTTATCGCAGGAGTTACGTTCTAAGTAGCCAACTTTTCACACTTTTCTCTTGTTTAAACACTCTGAAAGTTCAAACCTTTGTAGAAAAATAAGTCCAGCATTACAGAATGTTTTCAAAGCCTCTTTTCAGGTCCAGAAAACAGGAACAGAGCAGCTGCCACAGAATCAGCATTAATGAATCAATAGTACGGAAGTGGAGGAAGCAAGAACGAGTTGAGTAAAGTTTGACTTTTCTGACTGTTTTGTTTCGCTTAATGCGCCTTATAATCAGAAAAATACGGTAACTTCCACCGTCCTTTAGCCTGTCCAGAAGTCCAACTTTTTGTGCGATGGTTAGCGTCTTCGCTGCCTTCTGGGTGCTCGCGCAGGAGCCTTTGTGTTTGTTGGGGAGAAAACAAACATACAGTACAGCACCGCAGAGTCACACTGCTGGGACTGAAGATCTATGTAAATGTGACAAGCTGAACCCTGTACAGGAGACACGGCACGGAGGAGAGTGATTGGCAGTGGTCTACAGCCAATCAGGACACAGAAGGTGCTGTAAAAGAAGAAGAGAAACAAAGCAGCGACGGGTGAACTGCGTTACAGCGAGGGACCACTGTATTAGAACGTGACGTTTTAAATCATTACATTGCATAATTATTAGTTATAATAATTATAAAACTCACAAAAAATGAAAGCTAATTTTCAGCTTAAAATTACTTTGTGTAATAAAACTTTTTTAAAATGACTTTTTTCATGTAATGTGATAAAGTTCATTTATTTATCTCATGATATTGAACCCTGAGAAAATCTTAAACACTTTCAACCTATTCTCAGAAGTTCCACAAATTAATATTTATAATATTAATAATGTTTCTTATTATACAAACTTCATGTGACATTGACTTTTTAAAACGATCAGAGACAGTTATAACAGAAAAACTTCATTCTTGAAATCAAATTCTTTTTATTGTTGTTCTCTTATTTCTGGAAATCTAAAATAAAATCTAACGATTACATTTTTTCCTGTAAAACTGCAAATGTCATATTTTATTATTTTTATATTATTATTAAAGTGCTGTTTAACCATACATGAAAATCTTTGAGTGTTTTGTGTTACGATGCCATCCCTCCGAGCCCCGCCCCCATCAGACCTCTGCTCCACTGACATCGTCTGTCTGACGTCACAGAAATAAGGACTCGTTATCGATGTAAACAACCACTTATGTACAAAAAAAGAAGAAACAAAAAGAACCCAAAGCTTTAGATAGAAAACAACAGAACGGTCAAACTGAGGCGTTAACTGTACAATTCATAAAGTCAGAATCATTTCTTTCTGTCATCACTTTACACTTTATCTCACTTTTACAAATAGAAAACACCAAATTAAAGTTTCTCCTTGAGTTAGTGCTGCTCTCTCTCCGCTCATACATAAAATATAGTCTCCGTTAGTATTTTCCTATTTACACGGATGCAATATGTACACTTTAATTTTTTCAGTGTTTTTGTTCAGGCGACAGCGCAGACGGCCTCGACCCAAGAGGCCGCCCGCCTTCCAGAATCATGGATCCCAGCGAAGTGCAGGCAGAAACCGTGATTGGTCAGTGAAACAGGAAGGTTTGCCGCAGGAGGTTGTGAGATCGGAAATGTGCGAGATGAGGTTTGCTTAAATCAGGGTAGAGTCGAGACTCAGGACATCCGTTTCTGCCGGGGACGACGGTGGGATCCACGATAGAGCGCCTGACACCCAGGAAGTGGTCCTGAGAGAGCCACCGGCAGACTAGTGATGATCTAATAGTAATCTTCGCTGGGTTTCACACTTTGTACCCGCCAAAACCGCCGCTAACGTCGCCGCCTCGACAAGACCTTTAATATCAAATAAAGAGTTCTTCAACTCTGGAGGGAACAATGCAAATCACAGGGAGCTGCTCTGGACCTCCGATTTTTGGGAACATTTTATAGTTCAAACGTTGAACGTGTTGTTGTTGGGATTCGAGACAGAGAGAGCACACTTGCGAATTCTGAGTCATCATCCATTGAACTTCAAATTTCTTCAGTTTAAAACTCATTTTCTTGGAAGTTGAGACTCAAACGGCAGCGTTTAGGTTCTACTTGAATTTCTAATTTGAGTATTTGAATTTAAAACTTGTTTTCTGGGGAACTGAAACAAACCTGCGAACTTTGTGTGGCTCTGATTTCTGACGAGTGAGAACGACTGAATATAACGTTCAGGCTCAGATAGCTATCCCAGCACACCGCCTGTTCTCCTACAGTGACCAGTAGTTTCTGCAAATCTGCAAGCCACTTTGCAGACCACCTCAACTCCTGTCGTTTATGCCTTTACTGAAGCCATGAAAAAGCACTGAAGCTTTAGTCAGACTTGCTTTCTTGGGTTTGCTGTTGGACATTTGGACTCCTTGTAAAATTTTTATCTCTCAAATAGTGAAATTCAGAGTTTGACTTAAACCTCAAATTAACTTTTTGCAGTCTTCAATCTGGATTTCTGTCTCATTTTTTGGGAAACACAAACGTGTTCCTGAAAATTCAAACTTGCATTCCTCGGAGCTCCATATCGGATAAAAGGTCTTGTTGAGCTGAAGACGTTTTGAAGCTCTCGTCCGGTCCAGAATCAAGTAACCTGCACGGTCAAGCTGGGACTAAAAGCCTCAATTTGACGAGTGAAAATGAGGCATTACTCAGTGCTTAAACCACCAGGTTCTTCCCAAAAGCCCGGTTTAAGTGAAGGGGACTCACAGAGGTACGAGCAGCTCTGGGCTGTGCTGAGGACTCGTTTCTGGACGGGACCGGCCTCGCTTTCATAAACAGGATGTTATGGTACAGATGGAGAATGAAGAAGTCTCACTGACCACCAGAGCTGAGCACAGAGAACGTTTTCAAACCATTTACACGTTTTCAGCTGAGCCGCCCTGACGCAGCGAAGCTTCAGTCCAACAAAGAGATCGGGCTCATCAGACCGAGTCAAAGAAAAACGTGATGACGCAGCAGGAAAAGACTTCCAGCTCCCGAACGTCTTCCATCTCCAAAAACCTTCTGTTCAGACTGAAGGATGCTGTGAACTTGATGATTTTGTTACGTTCCCCTGAAAGGGTCCAGGCGATAAGGGAAAGTACCAAAAAGTGTCCGGATCAGAAAAAGGAGACAGAGGCAAAATGAGACACGCCTCAGATCACTGAGACTGTCCTCACAATCGAGGATTCGGCCGAGAGAAGCAAGCACGGACGTCTGGAAGTCTTTTCCTGGGAATCAGATTTTTTAAAAACTCGACGTGAACTGAAGAAAGAAGAAGGCGTCAGCCTTTTGTCCTTTTGTCTCGACGGTCGGCAAGGTGTGCTTCGGGCAGCGCGCCTACGGAGGCCCACAGAGGACACGTAGGACATTCACTCTGTGGGCAAAGAGCGGCGGGCGGTATACGATGGAGTAGCCGAACCAGCTGAGCGACGTCAGCTCTCCGGCACACCTGTCCAGGGTCTAACCTTCTGTACCACCTGACCCGCAGGCCATTAAAAGTCGAGCAGAAGGACTTCAGACTGACTTTCTTCTTCTTTGCCGTCAGGTGAGCGGCTCTTTGACGTCTGCGCTCAGGCCTGGCGGTGCTCACAGCATAAAAACAACAGCTCTGTAGATTCTATTATTATCATTATTATTATTATTATTATTATTGTTGGAGTAAATATGACTGAAGTGTGATCAGCTGTACAAACACAGAACCAACCAATTGCAACACAGCTGAACTGAACTCTACTGAAAGCAAGAAAAGGAGTAAACAAAACCTCTGTGTGTCTCTGAGCCCTGAGGTTCGCCAAAGTGCTTCGTTGACGCCATGCGCTGACCGACCGGCTTCGCTTCCCGCCACTACTCTTATTGCCGTGGACCCCGACCACCCCGATGCGCCGAGTCAACCGAAGGGAGGGCAGCTCTGTGAGGGCGGTCAGGGGTCCTTCCTTAAAGCCGATTGGTTGGTCGGTGTGACAGCAGTTAGATCCAAGCGTTGAGCGAAGAAGTGTTTCCGCCCACTTCTCTGTGTCCGTGACTTCGGCATGAGCGCAGCCGATCGGCTGTCACGTGATCATCAGTCCAATCAGCCAACGACCAGCAGCGTTCTTAAAGGACCACACCCGTGTTTTCCTTCAGCTTGACGGATTCCCGACCCTCAGAGGAGAGGTGCATTCTGGGTAGAGAGAAAGAACCTGATAAACTCCGAGCATCGTACCAACTTCAGGTTTTACAGCGCGGTGTCAAACATACGGCCCGAGGGCCAGAAGCAGCTCGCCCAAAGATAAGTAAAACCTGCGGCTAGTGAGTGAACCTGGTGTGGACGCAGGTTTGTGACGCACACTGTTAATCGTCGTAAGAGCGCTCCGGTCACCGGTGGGACCTATCCTCAGTTTAACCGGACAAAACGCCGCCACACACTGAGAAACCACCATGAAGCGCGACGTTGCGCCAGAGCCGCCAAGACCGCTCGATTAATGCGAGATGACTTATTCAATATGTTATCATGCTTGAAGTATTCTAACCCTAAAACCTTCCATCGATCGGTGTGAATCACTTTTGTTCAGAGAATCAGAGGATTGTTAGTTTGATCAGATCAGACAAGCTTATCTGGAAATGTGTGTAACTTCACACTTCACTGAAGTTTCGCAGTTAAGCGTCACGAACAGGCTCAAACCTCCTTTTTACATCAGAACGACTGAAAATCTGAATTAATGACACGAAAAGACGTCGGTCATAAAGCAGCATGAGGACAAACACTGGTTGCTCCTCGAGCGTCACTGGAACACGACCTTTGTAAGAGCCGCTCATCTTTAAGTGTCGCAGTCACTTCTGTTTTATTTCCTGCTTCTTTTATTCCTCAGGTTTTCCTCATGTCTCTACTTTGTCTGCACCTCAGCCTGATTACAGATTTGGTCTTTGACCTGTCTGCACTGCTCAAAACACACTGGTTTTACTGGTTCATTTCATCTGCTCTCAGATCAGACTGTAGCCGCTAGAAACCCTTTCAGTATAAGAGCCTCAGAGTGAACAGAACTGAACCTGAAACAGACCCCATTCCCACGTTCAGCTGAGCGACAGCCGAGAGGTTTAAAAACACGGGCGTGGTCCTTTAAAAGCTGACGGGCGCTGACCTTCATCAAAGTCCTGAAACAGAAACACCGAGGTGCTCTCCGGAGTCGTACGGTAGAAAACCAGCATCTACACGTCCTCGAACGCACCGCGATGACCTCACACAGTGTCCGTGGTGTGTCTGACATGGTCAGTGAATGCATCATCAGAGTCCGGTGTGTTCAGGAATGTTCTGGAAAGCTCTGATGTGAGAGAAAGTGGCTGACTTTGACAGAAAACTCGATGAAATGCACGAGATCCAAACTCGTATCCGGGAGTTTGAAAACTGGACCAGTTCCACCTGCAGGAGAGCTGCTCCGGTTTCACCGGGTCCACACCTGCAGCTGCTCCTCAGCCTGTGGACGCTCGTGGATCTCAGAGCTGAAGAATCCAAGATGGCTGTTAAAGAAACGCCGCCATTGTCAGCTCCACACTTCTGCTCATTTCACGTGGTCGAGGCGCTCTGAGACCTGGAACGTCTTTACTCTCGCCGTCTTAGGCGCTCACAGCGGCTGAAGGTCAGCCGTCAGATTGTCTGCAATCTGAGTGGTCGAGTGCCACAGGAGGAAAAGCAGGAGGCGGAGCCTGGAGTCGGAGAGCATTCAGTCCCGACTCGTGTTTGGAGTTTCTCTCTCCACGTATGGTTTCAGCACTTTCTGATTTACAGGTTAATCTGATTTGATTTCACATTTAAATGTTTGGCTCGATGAGCACTCGGGGGTTTCGTGCCGCGGTGCTCGGACGTCCACTAAACAGATAAACTGAGGTTTGAATTTCGGTGTTTGGGCTTTGAAATGACTCTGACTGCAGCTCCAGCTTCAAAGTGTCGTGCTGATGCAGGACAGTTGTTGGGTTTAGGCTTCAGGTTCTGGATGGTCTGGGCTCACGGATACTCGTCTCGCGAGATCTGCTTTTTCTTTATTTTTACTTTTAATCCTTTTCCAAATCCTTTCAGTCCTGAAAGCTTCCTGAACGTTCCTGTGAATGAGAATTCCCACTTTTTAGGGGTAAATGGCCTCTGAGTGCAGAGCAAGGACTGCCGGTCCCTGGAAGGGTCCCAGCAGAACTCCTCTGAGGGTGTAAACGTGAAGTCTGGACCGCAGCTCGAGTCCTCTGTAGTGTTGTTTGAGGAGGAGGAGGAGGACTGAAGCGTCCAGGCTTGGCGTCCTGTCTTCCTCTCCCTCTGACGTCCTCAGCTCCTCCTCCTCCTCCACCTTCCTCCCTCTATGTGTCTTTGGGCTCCAGCTTGCAAGACATGTCGAACAGCAGGTTCTGGTTGTCGATCACCTGCAGCTGCCGCACGTAGGCCTTGGTCTGCAGGTGGGAGGGAGACATCTCCGTATCTATGGCTACCAGAAAAAAAAAGAAAGAAACAGCTGTTAGTGATGCAGGGCTGCAGTGTGATAAAGCTGCCACCAGGGGGAGACAAACCCCACAGAGCTGCAGACGTCCTGCTTTTACTTTATTCTATTTGTAACTTTACTGAGTGTGTGTGTGTGTGTGTGTGTGTGTGTGTGTGTGTGTGCGTGTGTGTGTGTGCGTGTGTGGGTGTGTGTGTGCGTGTGTGTGGGTGCGTGTGTGTGTGTGTGCGTGCGTGTGTGTGTGTGTGCGTGTGTGTGTGTGTGTGTGCGTGTGTGTGTGCGTGCGTGTGGGTGTGTGTGTGTGTGTGGGTGCGTGTGTGTGCGTGTGTGTGTGTGTGTGCGTGTGTGTGCGTGTGCGTGTGTGTGTGCGTGTGTGTGTGTGTGTGTGTGTGCGTGTGTGTGTGTGTGTGCGTGTGGGTGCGTGTGTGTGTGTGTGTGCGTGTGGGTGCGTGTGTGTGTGTGTGTGTGCGCGCGTGTGGGTGCGTGTGTGTGCGTGTGTGCGTGTGTGTGTGTGGGTGCATGTGTGTGCGTGCGTGTGGGTGCGTGTGTGTGTGTGTGCGTGTGTGGGTGCGTGTGTGTGTGTGTGTGTGTGTGTGCGCGCGTGTGGGTGCGTGTGTGTGCGTGTGTGTGTGCGTGTGGGTGCGTGTGTGCGTGTGTGCGTGTGTGCGTGTGGGTGCGTGTGTGTGTGCGTGTGTGTGTGTGTGTGCGTGTGTGCGTGTGGGTGCGTGTGTGTGTGCGTGTGTGTGCGTGTGTGCGTGTGTGCGTGTGGGTGCGTGTGTGTGTGCGTGTGTGTGTGTGTGTGCGTGTGTGCGTGTGGGTGCGTGTGTGTGTGCGTGTGTGTGCGTGTGTGCGTGTGTGTGTGTGTGTGTGTGCGTGTGGGTGCGTGTGTGCGTGTGTGTGTGCGTGTGTGTGTGTGTTACCTAGCTGGCTGCTCCTGTATCGTCTGATGTTCCTCACCATCTCGGCCACTTTGTGCTGCAGACAGAGGGGGAGGAGTCAGTTCCTGTCTGTGATTAATGGATGCCTGCAGTGTGATGCAGTGTGGACACTGTGGGGTCTGCTGAGAGTATCAGCATGTTAACGTATTTATTTTAACACAGAGTCTACGGGACTGGCTCTCTGCTGCCTCTGCTGGACGTCAGAGGAACTGCAGTTTTAGCGCTTCCTGTTTCAGGCTGACAAACAGGAAGTGAAAGTGTTTGAGTGAAGAAGAATTGCAGCGGCTGTAACTGTTATTTCCTCTTCATCACAGCAAACAACTTCAAGCATATGTATCAAACTCGAGGCGAGCGGGCCACATCCAGCCCGGCGTACATTTATGTCCGGCCCGCGAGATCATTGCTTATAGATTTATTATTATTGTTATTCACGTCCCGGCGATATGAAACGCTGAAACACACAAACTACAGAACTGATAATGCAGCACTTCACTATGCTCGCTGAGCACTAGGCTACCTGGGAACATCAAGTCAAGCTTCTGTTGATGTACAACCCTACTGTAAAGTTACTGTGAAGCTAGCCCCTCCCACTGGAGAAATGTTGATTCTGACATCAGAGCCTTTCATGGTACAAGTACATGGTTACAGATAAGCCCAACAAAACACAGATGAGGGCAAAGCCTGAGTAGTCTAAGGAGCTCTGAAAGGGATGTGTCCTCTCGCCACTGCTCTACTCCCTCTACACTTCGGACTGTGTGGCCACCCATGGCTCCAACACCATTGTGAAGTTTGCTGACGACACAGTGGTGTTGGGTGCCATCTCCAACAACGATGAGACGGCCTACATGGATGAAGTGAAGAATCTGGCATTGTGGTGCCAGGACAACCACCTCCAGCTGAACGTCAGCAAGACCAAGGAGCTGGTGGTGGACTTCAGAAGGAGTCAGCACAGAGACTACAAGCCCATTATCATCAATGGAGCTCCAGTGGAGAGGGTGCAGTCCTTCAAGTATCTTGGTGTCCACATCTCCTCAGACCTGACATGGGCTGCCCACATTCAGGCCCAGACCAAAAAGGCTAGGCAGCGCCTGTATCACCTACGACAACTGAGGAAGTTCAGGGTCTCTCCAAAGATCCTCAGGATTTTCTATACAGGCGCTGTGGAGAGCATCCTCACACAGAACATGACATCGTGGTTTGGGAACAGCTGTGCAACAAACTGTTCCAACTTCTGCAATCTGGTAGAAGGTTCCGCATCTTCCGGGCAAGGACAGAGAGACTCAAGAGGAGCTTCTATCCCCAAGCCATCCGTGCCCTAAACACACACACCCGCCCTCTCACATCATCTATAATTGACTGAGACAGGACTCTTCCAGACACTCTAAACCAAGGCACAATGTACATTTCAATTCCTTTAATTTTAAATATGTTTATATTGTCTATCCTGTAAAACAGTCAGATGTCTATTCATATTAATGTACAGAATTCACCTGCTTGCTGCTACTACTGCACATTCACCCAGTGTATATACTATATATAAAAAAAAAACAAAACACCCAGCACGCCCCTGCGGGCGGTTTATCCTTCAAGCTCGGGTCCTCTACCAGAGGCCTGGGAGCTTGAGGGTCCTGCGCAGTATCTTAGCTGTTCCCAGGACTGCGCTCTTCTGGACAGAGATCTCCGATGTTGTTCCCGGGATCTGCTGGAGCCACTCGCCTAGCTTGGGAGTCACCGCACCTAGTGCTCCGATTACCACGGGGACCACCATTACCTTCACCCTCCACATCCTCTCGAGCTCTTCTCTGAGCCCTTGGTATTTCTCCTGCTTCTCGTGTTCCTTCTTCCTGTTGCTGTCATTGGGAACCGCTACATCGATCACTACGGCCGTCTTCTTCTGTTTGTCTACCACCACTATGTCCGGTTGGTTAGCCACCACCATTTTGTCCGTCTGTATCTGGAAGTCCCACAGGATCTTAGCTCGGTCATTCTCCACCACCCTTGGGGGCATCTCCCATTTTGACCTCGGGACTTCCAGGTTATACTCGGCACAGATGTTCCTGTACACTATGCCGGCCACTTGGTTATGGCGTTCCATGTATGCCTTGCCTGCTAGCATCTTGCACCCTGCTGTTATGTGCTGGATTGTCTCTGGGGCATCTTTACACAGCCTGCACCTGGGGTCTTGCCTAGTGTGATAGACCCCAGCCTCTATGGATCTTGTGCTCAGAGCTTGTTCTTGTGCTGCCATGATTAGTGCCTCTGTGCTGTCTTTCAGTCCAGCTTTGTCCAGCTACTGGTAGGATTTCTGGATATCAGCCACCTCCTCTATCTGCCGGTGGTACATACCGTGCAGGGGCCTGTCCTTCCATGATGGTTCCTCGTCTCCCTCCTCTTTCTTGGGTTTCTGCTGCCTGAGGTGTTCACTGAGCACTCGGTCAGTTGGGGCCATCTTCCCAATGTATTCTTGGATGTTCCTTGTCTCATCCTGGACTGTGGTGCTGACACTCACCAGTCCCCGGCCCCCTTCCTTCCGCTTAGCGTACAGCCTCAGGGTGCTGGACTTGGGGTGAAACCCTCCATGCATGGTAAGGAGCTTTCTTGTCTTTATGTCAGTGGCTTCTATCTCCTCCTTTGGCCAGCCTATTATCCCAGCAGGGTACCTGATCACGGGCAGGGCGTACGTGTTGATGGCCCGGATCTTGTTCTTACCATTCAGCTGACTCCTCAGGACTTGCCTGACCCTCTGCAGGTACTTGGTAGTTGCAGCTTTTCTAGCGGCCTCTTCATGGTTCCCATTCGCCTGCGGGATCCCCAGGTACTTGTAACTGTCCTCTATGTCTGCAATGTTGCCTTCTGGTAGTTCAATCCCCTCAGTTCTGACTACCTTCCCTCTCTTTGATACCATCCGACTACACTTCTCCAGTCCGAACGACATTCCAATGTCATTGCTGTATAGCCTGGTAGTGTGGATCAGTGAATCGATGTCTCGTTCACTCTTGGCATACAGCTTGATGTCATCCATGTACAGGAGGTGGCTGACAACTGTGTGTGTATATATATATATATAAAATGTTCTTCCTCTACAGCCCCCCCCAATTTTTTTGCACATGTCGAGGAGCGTGTCAGGCTACATTTCACTGTGTGTTATACTTGTATAACTATGCATGTGACAAATAAAGAACCTTGAACCTTGAAAAAAAAAAAGAAAAGTGTCAGGACTTCTTTATGTTTCCTTGAAAAAGTTTCATCCGAGAAGCTTCTTCAGTTCTAAGAGCAACAGGTGGAGAGTCCCCAAGAGGGTCATGGGCCCACTGTTGAACCTAATCACATGAGCCAAGGTGTGGAAAGAGGTGTGGGTCACAATCAGCCAAAGTTTCAGGTGAACCTGTTGCTGCCACACCCTATCATGTGACTTACTGAGGTGAAATCAGGCTGATTGTCAGGATGCAGGAGGACAACTACATCATGACCATAACCGCCATCATATCCTGTAGCCAAGTAATGTTGAACCAAGTCGGCTCAACCTTGTTCCCAGATGCGCACTGTGGTGAGTTCGCACGGCGCTTTGGTCACCTTGAAGCACAAAACGAGAATTTGGAGCTGCTTCGCGCCTCGTTGACATGGAAACTGCACCCGTGCAGCTGCAGTGTGACGAGGCGCTCGGTTTGTTCGCCCCATTCCTGAAGCCGCAGCGCCGTCTACATGCGGCTCGAACCTGGTGCCTGTTTGGTAGCACATATCTGTGAGAAGCTGAACACAGGAGTCGTCTCACAGATGAACACCTGCGGTCCATCCTGACCATCTGCACGACGCACGAGCTCACACCAAACCAACGAACTTGTTGCCAAAGCAGAAGAAAACTCAGTGTTTTCATTTGTTGTTATTTTAACTTCTGCTGAAAAGGACACAAATTGTATTTAGTTGTTCTTTGCAGCACATTCATGTTTCTAACTTCTCTAATTTTGACTGGACCAAAATCTTAAAAAGTTTCAGTTTATTTATTCTGGAAAAATATTCGTCTGTTTTTACTCGTATTTATCTTCAAAAACATTTCATTTTAGTACGTTTAGTACGTCCCGCGACCCAAAGTGTCTGAATCACATCATTTAAACTCTGAGCTGGTTTTCAGGTGCGAGCGTGACGCCACTCACCATCTTCTCAAAGTTGACGAGTTCACCGTGAAACGTTTTGCAGCTCTCGTGAAGAAACGTCAAGTCTGGCAGGAAAAAACGAGACGTCAGCCGGCGATGAGTCGAGGACACAAACACACAGAATCAGTGATGCGCACAACGATCAAACGAACTGCAGTCAGTGAGACGTGTTTTTAAAGCAACATATTAACAAAGAGAAAAACAAAACAAATAACATAAAACGGAAGATACAAAAATGAAAGAACAAACGACCAAAACAAAGAAACCGGGACAGCGATCGATCACGTGTTAATGTGCAGCGCTGTCATCACCACAGGGGGGCGCCGAGGGAAAAGTATCAGCTGTAATCCCAGATTCCTGATTTTAACTCTTCACTTCCATCTCTATGGTTCTGTTACCATGGAGACAGAGAGCTAAAGGCAGCACACACACAGGTTCAGACACTTCAAAGAGTCCTCTTCTTCGTTGGTTCTGAGAAAAACTGGAGCGAGGTTCCTCGCTCCAGTTTTTCTGTCTTTCATCTCGTTTAACTTTTTTACTTCTTAAAACACACACACACACACACACACACACACACACACACACACACACAGTGAGAGGCATGCTGTGTGTGTGTGTGTGGCAGGTTAACAGCAGCACAGGGCTGATTAGCCAAAGGTGCTAATTAGCGAGGTGCAGCTAGCCGCTGTGGTCCACAGCTGGAGGCATGCGAGTCTCAGAAGACCAATCAGAGCGATTTATGGACGATCGATGAGTGAACTGGTGGACCTGGGTGTGTTTACCTCGTGCTGCTGATTCCAGGAGAAAGCTGCAGCGGGTTTCATCAGCAGAGGGAAACAAACCAAACGTCCTGAACACTAAAGAAGAAAATCGTCTCCGGGGTTTCTGCACTTCCATTAAAAATGCTTTTTATCTCTCGGAGTCCGCACTGAGTCTGAGAACTGGAAGACTTCCAGAAGGTTTGACTTCCTGATTTTCAGCTTTCCTCAGTTTCATAGATTCAGCTAAATCCTGCAGTCAAACCTGTAGTGATTCATCAGTAGTTACCTCAGCGTTACTGAAGCACCGCAGACGCCGCTGTCACGCCTGGTAATGTGCTGATGTCAGCGTGCAGGCTCACCTTTGAGCAGCAGAGGAGTGAAGGGGATCAGCGGAGGCCTCAGGCTGGTGATCAGGTCTCTGTAGGACTTGTGGTTCCTGGACGGGTCCTGTGGGACAGCGTGACGGTCAGAGCGTCATCGTTCTAACTCGGGTCAGAAAGCATTAGAGATAAAAACGTGTGACTCACCGCGATGCTTTCAAACTGCTGAAACTGCTTCCTGAACTTCCCCGGCAGACCCTGCACACGGAGAGGACAGCAGTGAGACACTGACGGACACATGGACACACATTTATCAGTGCTTCACACGGTCAGCGCGACGGGTGAAATACGGACAAACGGCAGGGAGTCGGTCAGGCAGAAGGCACTGCGCTGCAAAGTTTCCTAATGAGTGCTGACCGGAAGTGAAAGTTGCTGGTTGTAGTGGGAAGGTACAACTTTTCCACCGCTTCGAAAACAGTTGCAGAAAAGTTGGAGTCCGTCATGCAAAGCACAGGCAACAGCAGCAACCTGCACGGGGGCTTTTGTTGCAGCAAAGAACCCCCAGCAACCACTCGCCAGCTGCTCTGGAAACATGTTACCAAAGCAACCGGAGGTTACCACAGGGTCACCGTGGTAACCTCCGGTTCAGGTCTGCACAGCTCTAACGCCTCTGCTGGAGAACACACAGCGTCCTACCTCCCAGGTGAGCCTCAGCCTGCTGACGGCCGGGTTGTCCAGACCCAGAACCACGGCGAGGAAGGACAGCAGGTCCTGCTGCTGCTTACAGCTGAAACACAGAAGAAGACGCTCATCTTTAAACCTACCACAGAAGAAGAAGCGGACTGCCTCATGATCTCAGAGGGGCGCAGCTCCTCTCCTGAGTCCCCTCATTAACTCAGTTTTGTGCGTGTGCACGGCGTGTTCGTGGTGGACTCACAGCGCTGCGATCTTGATGAACTTGCGGAGCAGCTGGATCCTCTTCGGCAGCGACTGACACTGCAGGATCTCCGTGGCGACCCAGTGCTGCACCTCGCTGCACCGCTGCAGTACCAGCTCCAGGTTCAGGGGGCGCCAGCACGACTGCTCTCCGTGAAACACGTAACACACAAACTCCACCTGCAGGAGACACCAACGAAGAAGACGTGCGTTTGTTCGTTTGTGAGCTGAAGCTGCGTCACTGAGACAGAACAGCCTTCAAATCCTGCGGCGCACTCAGACCTCGTGCACGCAGCTGAAGAGCTCCCAGTCGAACACCACCAGCTGATTGGCCACCTCCTCTGCCGACATGTCGTGGAGTTTACTGTCGCCCGGCGTCCAGTGGATCTCCTCAGGAAGAGGAAGCTGAGGAAACAGGAAATTATCTCATCAGAATCCCAGAAGATGTGAGAGAGGGAGTGAGACTTGCCCCAGCAAGCTGCTACTGCGTCCTGATTGGTCGGTTAGACATCAGGTGATAGCAGCAAAGTTAAAGCTCTGCAGAAAGGTCCTCGTGTGCAGCTGGATGCACAGGAATCAGGTGCACGTGTGCATGTTTGGGTAACCTTTGTTTCAATGACAGCCATGAACCAATCAGATCCTCACCAGCGAGTCGAGTTCGGAGGGTTCGCAGGCGAACAGGTGAGTGTTGACTCCCAGCGTGGTGAAGACGGCCTCGTCGCTGGGACGAAACACGGCTTTCTCTGAACACACAACACAGCCGTTAATAACACACAGACAGAGCTGTGTGTGAGTGCGTGTGTGTGCGTGTGTGCGCGCGTGTGTGTGTGTGTGTGTGTGTGTGTGCGTGCGTGTGTGCGTGTGTGTGTGCGTGCGTGTGTGCGCGTGTGTGCGTGTGCGTGTGTGTGTGTGTGTGCGTGCGTGCGTGCGTGTGTGTGTGCGTGTGTGCGTGTGCGTGTGTGTGTGTGCGTGTGTGCGTGTGTGTGTGTGTGTGCAGACCTCCGGCTGACGTCACGGCCACCAGTATGAGTTTTCCCGGCAGGACTGGCTGGTCTTCGCTGTACTGGAGCTTCTCTTTGACCAGAGCCAGAATCTCTCCAACCCGGCAGGACAGACGGCTCCTGATGGTGACGTAGGAATGATCCGGAGTGTACACCCTGCAGAAGACTGAACACACACACACTCAGTGAGTCCTCTGAGAGCGCAGCATCAAAGATGGCTGCAGTCACATGACATCATGGCTTGTCGTTACTATAGTAACTGCCACTCAAAATGTGGTTACTCATACATGTGTTTCCAAGCACGTCTGTCGACGCTCTGAACACAGTTAGAACTATAAGAACAAACTAAGCAGAGAAACTGAACAGAGGTCACCCTGACTCCCGGCTGTACATTGCTCCGTCATTCTGTGGCGTCCAGCTGCATGTAGGAGCTCCATGGCTGCATCCAGCAGCTTTCTCTCTTCTCTGAACATTTTAAGCATCTCTCTCAGTCCTGATCAGCTGATCAGCTTAGTCTGTTTTCCATGACACAGGTCTCACACGAAAAACTGGTGTAAAGTAAAAAGTAAACACGTTACGGGACCAAAGCGCTCAATGGCAGCACGCGGTCGAGGCATTTCTTAGTCTTAAATAAGCTGTAATAGAGAGATTAAACACGTCTTCCTCGGTTATAATAAACTGAGATTAGGAAACAGGACCTACAGAAAAGCACGGTGCTCCTCCTGATGAGGCACACAAAAGCTCGCTCGGCCTTCAAATGCTTCTGGTCGTCTGTGTTTTGATGAAACAAAAATTGAATTGTTTGGTCACAATGATGTTTCCTTCATTCGGCGTGAAAAAGTAGAAGCCTTCAACCCGAAGAGCGCCGCCCCCGCTGTCTAACACGGTGGTGGGAACCTAATGCTGGGGCTGTTTTTCAGCCAATGGACCAGGGAACCAATCACAGTGAACCATGAAAAACAGATCCATGAAGATTCAATGACACCAGGCAGTCTGCAGAGGAACGCGGCCTTGGACACAACAATGACCCAAAACACAGCAAACGTGCTGAATAAACGTTAGCAGACAACACTAACGTGTTGCAGCGGCTCAGCCAGAGTCCTGAATCCAACTGAGAATCTGTGGAGGGAGCGAAAGACCAGGGTGATGGCAAGAGGACCCTCCAAACTGAAGGATTTGGAGCTCATTGCAAAAGATGAGTGGGCAAAAATACCTGTGGAGACGTGCAAAAAGCTGCTCTGCAAGAACAGGAAGCGTTTGATTGCTGTAAAAGCCAATAAAGCTTTTTCTATTGATCATTGAGAAGGGTGCGAACAATTCTGACACTTTTTGCTCAAATGTATAAAAACGCTGATCATTTTTCCCACAATAATGCTTCTTGTACATCATCTTCTTATCTTTCGGGAGACACTTGTGTCATTTTGTATCAGTTGGGACAAATTACATGAAAAACTATAAATAAAGAGGGAAAAAAACAACTTGCTGGTTGAATAAAAATAACTTTAAGTCAAAATTTGCCGGGAGTATGACTGCAAATAAACCTGACTGACTGCAGGACACGCACAGACACACACACAGACACACACACGCAGCACCCTGCTGTTCTTGCTCTCCTGATGCTGTGCGTGTGTGTGTGTGTGTTCTGGGTGTGTCGCTGTGTGATTTGTTTATCCCTGCCACAGACTGCAGGTGTATTTGCATTCAAACTCTGTGTGTGTTTACAGATTACACCGCTTTTGTGTTTGTGTGCGTGCGAGGGTGTCGTACTTTCGTCGGAGCCTCTGAAGGCCTCTCTGGGCTGCAGGCAGGCGTCGATGCGTCTGAAGTGTCTGAACAGAGGGCGCACCTGCTTCTTCCTGCTCTCCTTCTCCTCGTCAGAGCTGCTCGCAGAGCAAACACACGTCCAATAAATCCAAACAACAATTACACAGAAACTGAGAGTAATTCACAGAAAATATAACAAATCGATAAAATAACTTATTACAGTAAATATTTAGCAGAGTATAAAAATGATTAATAAAAAGTGTTTCATTGTTTAAGCTGTGAGAGTGCGATCAATAGAAACGTTAATGATGAATAATAATATGATAACTGTGTGAGTCACGATGGAGCGCCGCAGCAATAAAGAAACCTCGTGAACATCAACATCCAGAAATCAACACATGATAAGCGTGCTGTGTGCAGACTGTACACAGATTACTGCGCTCTGATTGGTCAGGTTTAGGTCACATGGGGCTAGAGACCAGCCTGTAACCCTGCATGAAACTGGCTGCAAACATGGTCACCTAAAAACCCCTGATGGACTCAGACGCCAAAGTTTGTATGGAAGCTTGCACCCGCTGACTACACTGTGTGTGTGTTACTGTGTGTGTGTGTTACTGTGTGTGTGTGTTACTGTGTGTGTGTGTCTTACGGGCAGTGTAAGATCTCGGTCCATCGCTGCAGTTTCAGGACGTCCTCCACCAGCTCAGGATACTGGGCCAACTCCTGTACGGCACACATGTACAGCTCCTGCACACACACACACACACACACACACACACACACTTCAGATCCAGACAGTCCCAGCAGTGATTATGAAGAATAAGTATTCAAATAAAAAACGGATGTTTGTGCATCGACCGCCGTGATGCAGTCTTCACGCTGACAGTGGGAGGAGTCACAGGTGTGGAAACATGCAGGTGGAGATTTGGAGCTTTTTAACATTATTTATTGTTATTATCGTTTTTCCAGAAATTTGGATCCGACCTGCAGGAACCACTCAGGGCTGAGACGGATACTGCATGTGTGTGTCTGCGTGTGTGTGCGTGTGTGTGTGTGTGTGTGTGTGTGTGTGTCTACGTGTGTGTGTGTCTGCGTGTGTGTGTGTCTGCGTGTGTGTGTGTCTGCGTGTGTGTGTGTGTGTGTCTGCGTGTCTGCGTGTGTGTGTGTCTGCGTGTGTGTGTGTGTCTACGTGTGTGTGTCTGTGTGTCTGCATGTGTGTGTCTGCGTGTGTGTAACCTTGGGGAAGCTGTTGCTGCGCTCGCCCTCCTCCTGCAGCAGCTCTCTGTAGGTGTCCAGGTATCGAAACGCCACCGTCAGCACCGCCTGCTTCCTCTCTGCTCCGTCCATCGCTCCCTCCATCTCTCTGTCCCTCTCCTCCCCTCTTCCTCTCCCTCCTCCCTCTCTCCTCCACCCCTCCGCCTCCCCTTTCTTCCCTCCTCCATCTCCCTCCAGGCTGAATCTGGAAAAGTCAAGTTAAGGAGGAAACACATTCGCCTGAAGCTTCGCTCTGAAACCAAATCTCACAGGTGTGATTGTTGCTGTCGTCACAAACAAACAGCTGCCAGCACAAACCCATAATCAGCTGTTTCAGCTTCACAGAGCTGCAGCTTGGAGACGCCGCCATGATGACCCACATATCACCACACGCACACACAAACATCTGCCTCACACAGACTCTTTTTTTCCTCTCCTCCGATTGGCCGATGATGCTGCTTTTTGTTTTTTATCCTCTTTATGAAAACAGAACTACAGTTCCCATGATCCCCTGGGAATGCACGCAGGAAGTGCAGAGCTGAGAAAAGTTAAAAGCAGCTGAGCTGTGAGCGACGCTTGTGGTGAATCATCACGACTGTTCAACGCGGCGAGACTGAAGGCCTGACGAGCGCCATTTCTCTGATCACGGCTCTGTCCACGAAGAAGGCTAAATGTGCCCGGCCCCCCGTCTGATCCCTTCACCCCTTCCTGAACGAGTCCCTGAACGTCTCGTGTTCTTGAACATGGAGCTCTCTCTTCGCCTGTCCTTCCCTTTCTTCTTTCGGCCACACCCCCCTCTGCTCCTCTTCCTCTCAGCTCTTCATCGCTCTCTGTGGCAGATCTGCGGCTGCAGCAGAAATCTGTTTTTCTGCGCTGCGAGTGTCGAGCTGCTGCACCGGTCATTAAACGTGCTCTTTATTCATTTTTGGGTTAGAGGACGAAGAGCTGACGGTGAAGATGAGATGTGAGCGTCCTGCTCAGCTGATCTGAGATCAGTTTCAGGTCTGAGTCTTGTTCCTGTTGGATGCTACAGAGCGCGCTCAGTGGCTGAGGAGATTGAGGTAGTTCAGTCGGTGATGACGGTCTCTTCCTGTGTGTACGCCCACGGGTTTTCAGGACTTCCTGTTCTAAGCGCTGACGTTGACCTGCTGAAGCGTGATTGGTCCGCAGCACTCGACGCTCTGGTGACAGAATCACAGCTGATATCTGTAAAGGCGTCACAGCACGATTCGTCCGTTCCTGGGATCTACAAACTCAAAGGCGTGGTGATAAAACCGCTGAGGTCAGAGGTCATTATGGGTAAAACAATGACATCATGGAGGTTTCATGGAAGTCTGCCAGCCAGGTTTTGTTTTTCCACTGAAGCAGAAAACTTCCCATTCCCGTCACTGGAATGCCAACAACGTGGGAACGCTGCAGAAACGAAACAAAACAACACCGGAGCTGTTCAGACACAAACCTGCAGAACCCGCAGCAGATAACGCTGCGAGGCGACCGCTCGACAGCCAGGCACGCATGCCTGTGAGCGCGTGAAGGATACTGCTGCAGCAGGACCTGCTGGAGCCTGTCCGCCGCCAGGAAGATGGGATGTGTCAACATAAAGTCATCCAGGAGCGTTTCTGCACAGAGACACAAACACACAGAGATTATCTGTACAGACTGTCCCTGAACACAACACAGGCCTGCAGCCAGGAGAGAAGCACGACATCCACACACACGCTCAGAGGCCCGACCAACGTCACGGGGGCGGGGCTGAGGGAAACGGGTTTGAGGTAGACGCCGTGTGCAGCAATGCTAATCCAGAGGAACTCTCAGGAGTCGCCCCCTGCTGGACGTCAGACAGACCGCAGGTCTGAAGAGAGAGATGTCGTAAGGCAAACGTGGTGTGGATTTTGCATCTAAGTGTATCGTTGAGGTCGACTACCCGTGGTCCTGATATTACTTATTTGTGATCTGCAAGAGGTAAATGAGACTGTGTGCCTTGACATTTGTACTGTAACTATTCGTTATAGTGATGCTAACTAGCGGCTTGCTAATTAGCGCAGCTTACCGCGTTATGTGCTGTGATGCCATGCTGTATGTTTAGCTCTGTGATTTTCAGTCAAAGCATGCTAATGCTAAATCGTTATGTGATAGCATTTGGTATTGTAGCTCAAGTGTTTAAATATGTTTAGAAGCCGAGGGACGCTCTGAAAGGAGAAGGAGAGAGAGGTTTCTGCCCGGATGGACCCTGCTGTTTTCTCACCCCTGGCTGTTTCCTCGCCCCTGACTGTTTTCTTACCCCTGACTGTCTTCACTACTGGTGAACTAACTGTCCGTTTCTGATTGCCCCACTAACAAACTCATTGGACTCGTGAGTACTAACTGGAACTAAAGTGCACGTATTTTGTTTATGGCTCAGTTTGAGTGAAGCGGCCATCAGTTTTAGGCCTCACCGCACCCGAACTTCGAATCAGGCCTGCAACAAGCACCGTGCTACAGGTGTAGTGTGGACAGGTTAAAGTGTGTGTGTGTGTGTGTGGGCCCACTGTTACACAATCGGTTTAAATTGAGTAAGTGTGTAGTTAATCAAAGTTATTATCAAAGGTTGAAATTCATCCATTTTAACGGTGTGAGCTGTTGTAACTGAAATAACAGTTGGCACCTAAGAAAGAGGTATTCTGTTTTGATAAATCTTTCATTGAAAACCCACGTAGTCACTTTTCCAGTAATTTTGTTTGTTTATTTTAATTCAATTCATTTTATAAGAGTAACTGTTTATTTTATTCATTTCTTTTTGTCTAAATAAATACTCGGTGAGGGATTTAATTTGTGTAAAATACAGTTGTGGTGGTCCTTATTATAGCAAATTAGAGGGTATCAGGTATCATTATTAGTAGCACTACGAACCCAGGCCCAGTCTCATTGTACTATATACTCTAGCTTTACCATAGCTACGTGGGACCTGGGTTACACAAACAAAAACAACGATAAATGATAAAACATAAAGGGAAACACAGCGATGACAACCAGATCTGGAGAGGCGCATATGAAACTCTGCTGCAGAACTCTGATAATAATCATAATGTCATCACGCTCGCTTTGATTTAGTGAGCTGGAGGAAACACAGACGTGGATATTTTTAATATCTGTGACACTCATGTGTGTGTGAAACGGATACATATGAATAAATCTTTATGTCTGGTTTCTGAGCGAGCCGCTCTGAGGCTAACACGTCCTCGTGGCCTACATTTAGCTCGTCTCCAGTCTGCTGCACAGAGATTTCAGCGCACACACACACACACACACACACACACACACACACACACACACACACACACACAGAAAAGGAGGGTGTGTGTGTGAGTGTGGAGGTGAAGCAGCTGCTGCAGTTACAGCTGTAATTAAAGCTGCTGAAACAGCCAAAACCTGTGGTCACATCTCCAAAAATACACTGCTGTGTGTGTGACAAGCATGCTGCAGTGGGCGTGGCCTGTGGCGATCCGCCTCTCTGCATGTCAGCTGACACACACGTAAATGAGTTTTTACACAGTGCCGCACTGAAGCTGAAACCTGTACTCATTACTCTGATTATTCAACGGCGTGGAGCATGTGCAGCGCAGATCACGGGGTAGCAGAGCGATGGCGAGAACACAGAGAGTGTGAACGTGGGAGGAGAGCGAGAGAGAGCAGCCGAACCCAAACGCCCACAGGAGAGAGAGAGAGAGAGGACAGAAATCACAGCGTCGAGGATGAAACGGTGACGGCACGAAAGCGATACGTGTTCGACAAAATGACTGCAGGGGTGCAGCAATGACTGTGCACCATAATCCATCCATCCAACATCCAACCAACATCCATCTAACCAACATCCATCCATCATCCATCCATTCATTCATCCATCCATCATCTATCCAACCAACATACATCCATCCATCTAACCAACATCCACCCAACCAACATCCATCCAACCATCATCCACCCAACCAACATCCATCCAACCAACAGCCATCCATCATCCATCCAACCAATATCCATCCAACATCCATCCATCCATCATCCAACCGACCAACATCCATCCATCATCTATCCAACCAACATACATCCATCCATCTAACCAACATCCACCCAACCAACATCCATCCAACCATCATCCACCCAACCAACATCCATCCAACCAACAGCCATCCATCATCCATCCAACCAATATCCATCCAACATCCATCCATCATCCAACCGACCAACATCCATCCATCATCTATCCAACCAACCAACCAATATCCATCCATCCAACCATCATCCAACCATCATCCATCCATCCATCCATCCATCCATCATCCAACCGACCAACATCCATCCATCATCTATCCAACCAACCAACCAATATCCATCCAATCATCATCCAACCATCATCCAACCAACATCCATCTAACCAACAGCCATCCATCATCCATCCATCATCTATCCAACCAACATCCAACCAACATCCATCCATTCATCTAACCAACATCCACCCAACCAACATCCATCCAACCATCATCCACCCAACATCCATCCAACCATCATCCATCCATTCATCCATCCATAATCCATCCATTCATCCATCCATAATCCATCCAACCAACAACTATCCAACCAACAGCCATCCATCATCCATCCAACCAACATCCATCCAACCAACATCCATCCATCATCCATCCATAATCCATCCAACCAACAACCATCATCCACCCAACCAACATCCATCCAACCAACATCCATCTAACCAACATCCATCCAACCAGCATCCATCCAACCAACATCCATCCAACCAACATCCATCCAACCAGCATCCATCCAACCAACAGCCATCCATCATCCATCCAACCAGCATCCAACCAACATCCATCTAACCAACAGCCATCCATCATCCATCCATCATCTATCCAACCAACATCCAACCAACATCCATCCATTCATCTAACCAACATCCACCCAACCAACATCCATCCAACCATCATCCACCCAACCAACATCCAACCAACATCCATCCAACCAACATCCATCCATCATCCATCCATTCATCCATCCATAATCCATCCATTCATCCATCCATAATCCATCCAACCAACAACTATCCAACCAGCATCCATCCAACCAACATCCATCCATCATTCATCCAACCAACATCCAT